TAGGAGTGACTGCTTGGTTCAGAAAATTGTGAGTACAATTCTAATTTAAAAGATGATCCAATTTGAGGGTTTTTTTTCCCTTAAAGTTGGAGAAATTACTTTATGAAGCCTTAAGAAGCACTGAGTATAATTCAACTGTAATCCAGGTTTAGATACAATTTAATAATAGTTCATTTCCAAAATAAAGTTATCATAGGTGAAACCATGAAATTTCCTAACACTTGATTTTAATACATTGCACTAATTTTTTAAAACAACTCTGAGGAACCAGTATTTACAATAGATGGAATATTTCTGAAAAATCTGCCATCAGGTATATTTTTGTGTGTATATATTTATTTAGATAGAACCCAAAAGATCATATGAACTAAGTCATAACAGCAGAACTAGAGTGCAGAGTTTGAAACTTTTTAAAGCATGGAGTTTGGAAAAGGAGCAGACATCTTGTTTCAAAACCTACTAAAGTTTTCTCAGGACTGAAGTCAAAATCTGAACTGCTGTAGACAAAGGGAAGCTTTTCCAGCTTTATTTTTTTTATCTGCGCCAGAAAGTCCAGTATCCCTGACGTAGGTACCACTGTAATAAGAAGGGAATGATAGGTTCACCCAAAGGAAGACTGTTGCTTCATTAGGACAACTTGCCTTGGTCATTGGGTATAAACTTTTTGTTTCCCAAACTAATGCTTCATAGCAACAAGATGTTTCAGTAATGGTTCATCATAAACCCAGCATTCTCCATCTTCATAGAATAACCTTGTCTCCCACTAAATTTTCTTCTCCTTCCTTCCTTGGGTTTCTGCTCTTTGCCTTTCTTCAAATTTGTACTTTGCTTCAATTGCTACATCAATGTCTCTGATTTTTAAATTGAAAGTGACATCCTTCTTTTTAATATTTATTTTTTAGTTATAGGTGGACACAATATCTTCATTTGATTTTATGTGGTGCTGAGGATTGAACCCAGTGCCTCACGCATGGTAGGCGAGCGCTCAACCACTGAGCCCCAGCCCCAGCTCATGAAAGTGACATTCTTCTAAAGGCAGCAGGACTCATACTCATTCTGATCTTTCAACTTCCTCGCTTTCTTCTTGATTATAGGCAACCTCTGTATTTTCCCATGTTGCATATTTTATATACATTATAATATTCCATTCCCCTTTGATCTAGCAAAAATACTTCCTGTCATTTGGAGAGAAAAAAATCTCAGCAGTAATTCTGTGTTTCTTGCCTCCATAGAAATAGAAAGGTTTAGTGTGGAAGACAATATTTGTACTATAAACTGTTTTGGTACAATTAATATTGCATTCTCCTCCTAGTTCCATCGAGGGACTGTGAGGATAGAACTTCCATAACTGTTGGGGAATGTGAGAATGTAATGTTCTTTGTAGTCTAAACATGAGACACATCTTTGCCCTCTGTTGTGCACCCCAGTTAGCCTCCCAAGGAATTTTGATTTAGTCCAGATATGAGCATTGAATTGGGTTTTCTTATTAAAACATTCAGCATAATAGGCTGAAATGGTGGATGATGGGAAACCTGAATGTTACACTATTATTGGAAACCTAAAGAAATGGCCTTTCTGAAACTAGCTTTGTGTTCTCTTTGGTGTCATTTGGTAATGTCCAGTGACACTGAAAGATCTCACCCAAAATGGGGTTGTATGGCTTTTTGGTTACTCATACTTTCCTTCATGCATGAAAGGCTGAGGGGTATCATTTCACTGTCTGAATGATTCGATCTCTATGATCTTTATGATCCGGGTGTGCAAAAAAGTCTGCATATATTTCTAAAAGAGATCTTTTTTCAAGAATAAATATTGGGGGCTGGGATTGTTAGCTCCGTGGAAGAGCGCTTGCCTAGCATGTGTAAGGCACTGGGTTTGATTCTCAGCACCACATACAAATAAATAAAGGTTCATCAACAACTAAAAAATATAAAAAAAGAATAAATGTTGGAAGAACTACCTTAGTAAGATCCATTCTGAGCCTAACCTGTGACAAGAGGTGCATGATAACACTCTTGCACTCCTCCACGGACCCTGCCTCCTCCTCCTCATCTCTGTCATCATGTGAAGCAAAAAGGTCAGCATCACTTATCACATTGGACATGGAAGAATTCAGTGATTCTGTGGTATCTGGATGCTTTAGACTATTTCCTGAACTGCTGTGTGTCAAGATTAAGGCAGATCCAGAAGAATCTATTAAGTGCTTTGGGGATGAGCCACTCTGAAGGAATTCATCAGCATCACAGAATTCATCTTCATTGCTAGAGTAAGAGAACTCTGGGACTGTATTTGGAGACAAGTTGACATGACTTGGAGAAGTCAGACTGCTAGTGGTGAATGCCCACTGCCTGTACTATTTGGTGTTGGAGTCTGATGATGTCCAAAGGTAGCTAACACAGGTCCAACAGGTAGGGAAGATGGCCACTGCTCTGACATACAAAACTGAGCTGGTTCTGGAGGTAAGACAGTCTGGGAAGACATTGTGCTGATCACAGGTTCCAAGGGACTAGGTAGATATTGCATCTACAGGATTAATAGTACTTTTAGCAATCTGCAGTAACACAGTGCAGTGTTTAATTGATTCTACCATGTTATTTGTTGTGTGAGAGTTTCAGTTTTCTTTCTCTCTTCATCATCTTTACAGTTTTGAAGCTTGTCATCCAAAAGCTTTAGTTGCTCTATCAAGATTTGTAGTAAGCATCTGCCTTTGTCAGTTTTTTTGTCAAAATCTTGGACTTTAGGAACAAATCCTGAATCTAAACCTCCAAAAGGCTGTTGGAAGGAGGCAGGGGGAGCATGACATTGGTGCCTCCATCCTTGCCTGGGCAGGCAGCAGGGACCCTGGGGACTTAGGGGTGGGGACCAGGCTCTTGGGGTCTATTCACTGCAAGCGGTGAGCAAGAAAGCCATTTGCCAAGGCCATCATCTTTGGTGCCTCCTGGAGTGGGAGTGGGGGCCTGCTCCTGAGCACCCCTCTTCTACCCCATCCAACAGATCTCCAGATCCCCAGGTGGCATTGTAGGCAGCTCAGCCAGAGGTTCATCCCCAATTTGAGGTCTTTGAAGATGTATAAAAAATGTCTCTCTTGGATGTTTATATCTGGATTTTATGTAATTTTCATATTTGTGACTTGTATGCAGTTTTTGCATCATAAATCTTGCATGGGACCTATTATTATTTCTCTTGAAATTTTTTTCATTGTTTCCTCACCCCTTTTTTTAAACATCATTTTTATGGCATTTTCCTGGAGCAACTTATTTGTATTGGTCTTTGGGAATATTTCATTAGTGTAAATATTTTCACTTTACAGTGGCATACTCTTCTAAATAGAACTTCAGCTTTATACTTGAGTTCCTTGACTTTACCTTTTAAGCATTAGACCATTGGCATACTATTGTTAGAACTTAAGTACTTTCCTTTTGTCACAGGAGCTTGAAATGACCCCTTTTAGGACTGACAAGTTGTGATTGGGGTGATAACCTCCCATTGTAGAATAACAAGAGAGATGTAGTTAACCAAATGCAATGGGCTGGAAACCTTTATCGGCACATACAGTAAGTATGTAAGCAGAGGCAGGGAGGGGAGCCCTGAGCAGGCATTTCCTCTGTGTTGGTATTTTTTACTTCCAATTTGAGAGTTCTGTGGGTTTGTGTTTAATTGTGATAATGGTCTCTGGGGTGACATGGGCTGTAAGTGCCTTAAGAACTCCAGTCTTGCTAAGAATCAAGCCCACTCTGAAAGACCACTGTGCATATTTGTTCATTTCAAAGGTTGAAAATAGTATTGATAAAAAGAAATTTTGTAGCCCAGCACTAGACACATAAAATCAGTCCCATGTTATTACTTTTTTATTCCCATATCAGAGTGGGTGTGGCTAATGTTATTAATTTGGTACATTCTCTTTGGTGTATATAAAGTTCATTTTAGGTTCTTTCCCTTACTTTTCTCCCTTTGTATTTGAAGAAGGAACATATTGATAAAAGAGAATTTGTAGTAATTTACATTGTACAGATTTTTAATCTGGCTCATTACTGAGGTAAAGTTATGAACATAGAAATACTTCAGTGTACAAACATGAATGACAAATTTCATTCCATTTCATAAATGTTGAATTTGAATAACTATGTGCCACTTACTGTGTTAGATGATGATAACTCCTGTTCTTTTAGAATTATAAAGGAATAGACCTGATTTTCCCATTTAGAAAATATTGGACCCTTTTTCTGCTCTTTGAAAGATCTGATGCTCCAATGAATAAGAGGAAGGACAATTGAGTTCAGCTACTCAAATATAAAATTTTTCCCTACTCCCAGATTTAGAAAACAGATTTTTTTCCTAAATATATTTTTTTTTTATTTTGAATTGTGCTTTGTGGGAAACTAATTTATTCACTTTCTAAAGTGGTCCTATGTTTGTCTAGCAAGAAAATCCGCAAAAGGGTTCTCAAAAAAGCTAGCAATGAAATTGAAAAGTGTCTACTCTCACCCATGGTGATAAATCAAACTGATGCTAAAGATGCAAATAGTCATTCCAGCACATTCTTTTTTGTTACTAGAATTGTTTAAGTTAATTAAGCCAGCAAAGTACTTCATTATCTATTATGCTGTATACTAATGGTAAATTAAAAGTTTTACTGTTCTATAATATGAAATTTTCTGAAAATCATATTTAAATCTTTATTTCCACCATGTTCTAAGTCTGTATATTTAAAGGTAATTAATATAATTAATTAGGAAAATATATTTATTGTACCTCAGGTTGCTAATTTGCTATGTTCACAAATCCAAGAATTTTTAACGAATGTTTGAAACTACTGTGTGCATAGTAACTTTTGTTCATCTTTTTTGAGAGAGAGATTAAAACAGTATATAATGCATTTTTATTAGACTGTCAGGAACTTAATTACCTTCAAGTTAGTATTGTAGAATTTCAAATGTCATCTATTAACTAAAATAAAAAAGCTGTTATAAATTACTCATTGGTTTTTTTTTCATTTGCAGCATTTAAATATTAGGACACTGACGGATGATATGGTAAGGTTATCCTCAACATTTCTTTTGTCATGAATTTTAATTAACCATGTAATGCTCATGGTATGTGTGTTAACTCCTTTGGAATTGCTAAAAACTGATGTATTGGGAATTTACTGTTTATAGTGCTAAAATAAGAGGGATTACTGACAAAACACATAAAGTTGTTGCCTTTAATTGAGAAAGGGAATAGTCAATATGTTAATTTAAAAAATTTGTTTAATTACAAATTGTTAGTCAACTTTGAGTCATTCAAATCAGCTGTCATTCTTTGGGGATGAATTGCACACTTCCAAAAGAGGTAGGAAAAAAATCACTTGAGATGTGTCAGCTTTTCAGAAATATGTAGTTGCTAATTAAAGTAAAGCAGACTAAAATATGCATATATTTTAGAAATTTTGTTTATAAATGAAATCCAGACATACCTTTAATATGTGTGTTCTTCATGTTGTTAATAATAGTCTCTCATGGGTACTTAATACCTTAAAGCAACATTGCAGATACTTGTAATACAAATATTAGCATATTTAGCTAAGTTTTTCTGAGAAATTCATTTTCTAATGTAATTCATGGTTAATGGTAAAGAAATAACAAAAAGAAGAACAAAGCCCAAATAAGCAATAATATCACAGTTATGTAAGCATGACATAGAGGGAAAAGCACAGCACTCCTTTCACCAGGTGTGTGAATTCAGCTTCACTATGTATTAAGCATGAAGTAGAGTGACTACATCATACTAAGCACTCAAAATTTTAGCTCCTCTGATATCCAAAGTGATGTCTTTGGCACCTGGGTAAGGTACACATGTAAAGGTGAATGAGACATAGACCTTGATACAAATGATTTAAAAAATTAGAATGTTTGTTTCCCTCTAAATAGTATCTAAGAAAAGGATATTTATGAAAAATATTTAGTATAACATTTGTTCACATGTAGTTCACATATAGTTATTTTTGCTTAACAACAAGAATGTGTTCTGAGAAGTTAGGTAATTTCGTTGTGTGAGCATCATAGAATGTTATGTACACAACCTAGGTGGTATAGCTTATTACACATTTAGTCTGTATGATGTTTACCACTGTATATGTAGTCCATTGTTGACTGAAAAATGGTGTGTGATTGCATTAGTATTTAAAAAGCAATAGTGATGGGCTGGGATTGTGGCTCAGTGGTAGAGCGCCCGCCTAGCATGGGCGTGACCTGGGTTTGATTCTCAGCACCACATAAAAATAAAGGCATTGTGTTGTGTTCATCTACAAAAATTCTCTCTCTCCCTCTCTCTCTCTTAAAAAAATAAAAAAGACAGTAGTTATATGGAACACTTATGTAGTCTACATAATTATTTCTCACCTTGCAAGGCAGATGTTGTCTTTAGTTTATAGCTGAGGATGTTGAGGCCGAGGTAGAATGCCCAGCTCCCAAATGGTACAGCCCTAACTCGGGTCTTGTTCCAGGCAGCTCCAATCCTGTACACTTACTGTGCTAACTTATCGCAGTCTCAAATGACTTTTTAGGGCAATAATAAAACCAATTGCAATTTTTGTATGAATTTTTATAAGAACATAGAACCATACGATGATAGATTTATCACAGCTTTATTGATATATATATAGCATTCAATTCACCCACTAAAAGTATTTAATTTAGTGTTTAGTATATTTGCAAGAGTAATCTAACCACTACTATAATCAACTGTAGAACATTTTCATCATCCTCAAAAAAAAGCTTAATCCCTTAAAATGAGCTCATACTCCTCATTTTCCCTCAGCTCCCTTAGCTTCAGGAAACTACTAGTCTATTTCCCATCTCCATACATTTGCCTGTTTTGAAAATTTCACATAAATGGAGTCATATTGTACATGGTGGTGGAGTCTACAACAGCCATTCTAGAAACCATCTTGCTCTATCTTATATGAACAAGTGGGTTTATTCTCAGTGGAGCCTTTATTAAGTCTATCTCCATCCTGTTACTACTCCTTACCATTACCGTCCTTCTTGCAACTGCCCTTGGTAGGGTCCGCACTTTGGGCACCTAGTGGATATTTTTAGCACTTCATGGTTTATCTGACTTTTTCACTAGTTTAAACCTTTAAAGGCAGGGACATTGTGTTGTTAATATTTCCAGCAGCCAGCATGTTGTCTGGCACTAGTAAACCTTTCAGTGTTTGTTTTTGAGGACCTCCTGCTAGTCTTTCTGACCACCTGCCTACCTGGTGGTGACTGCTGCCTTGCCCTGCTTTCATCTTAGGTGCATGTATGACCATCTCTTCTGAATTCCTCCTTGGCCATCTTCACGTGGACTTGATGACTGAACTGCTGTCTCCTCATTCTTTTTTTTTATTGGTTGTTCAAAACATTACAATGCTCTTGACATGTCATATTTCATACATTTGATTCAAGTGGGTTATGAACTCCCATTTTTACCACATGTACAGATTGCAGAATCACATTGGTTACACATCCACGTTTATACATACTGCCATACTAGTGTCTGCTGTATTTTGCTGCCTTTCCTATCCCCTTCCTATCCCCCTCCCCTCCCCTCCCCTCCCATCTTCTCTCTCTACCCCATCTACTGTAATTCATTTCTCTCTCTTGTTTTTTTTCCCCCTTTCCCCTCACATCCTCTTATATGTAATTTTGTATAACAATGAGGGTCTCCTTCCATTTTCATGGAATTCCCCTTCTCTCTCCCATTCCCTCGCACTTCTCCTCCCTGTTTAATGGTAATCTTCTCATTCTTGCTGTTCTTTTCTGATCTTGTCTTTAGCTTGTCTCCACAGTAGGATCAAACAGGTCGTCTAGTTATGGCAGCTGGGTCCATTGTCCCAGAGGTCTGAAAATAAGCACAGCCATTTTGGACTAGAGATACCAAAGAGTAGATTCTTCCTTTCTTGCTGTTAACTGACATAGAGTGTGTGGAAAGAGTGTTGGATTTAGAATCAGAAGAGTCTTGTTGAGAGACAGACTTCTCTACTACATAGCTCTGTGACCTTTACAAATCCATTATTTTCTTGTTCCTTTATTTGTATTGAGGCAGGATTAATCTCTCCCTTCCTCATAGGGGTTTGATGAGTTGCATTTAGGCAGAAGTGTATTGAACTGCTGCTCTCAGTTCTGTCCCTTTTTACTCTATTTTACAAACATTTTCTGATATATGACAGAGAGGTAGTGTGACACATTTGCAGCTGAGCCTTACAGGAGATGTGTGCTATAGATCAATGTGAAGCTGTGAGAAGGGAAAGGGTAGATGGATATTTTGAGGACTCTTTAAACTATTTATGGTGTGTTAGAGCTCAGGGAAGCATTTGCCACTGGTGCTCTGATAGGTACTGGCAGTATGTTTTCTAATTAAAGTCTGCCACCCTCATAACATATACGTTCCATGTGTGCTTTTCATTTAGAATTTCTTAATGTGAATAGCCATTTGGTAGAACTTGAGAAAAGGCATATAAAATTAGTTCTGCTGTAGTCACAGGTTTGAATAATGGTATGTTAGAAACATTAAATATGAACATACGGGAAGCGTTTATGCTAAAAACCCATCCCTTTAAGTTGTTTGGTTAAAGGCCTGCAAAAGTATGCCTCATTTAAAAGTTTTTTTCTTGAGAGTTAATATCAGAATTGAATTTCACAGGACAGTCTTGTTAAAAGAATGATTACCACAGTGTTGGGATCTCTAGGAAGTGTTATAGACCTTGAGCAGTGAGCATTCTCTGGGTATAGGTGTAGTTTAGTTTATCACCATCCATCGTGGTTACCTGGGTTGGGAAGGAGGTTTCCTCAGAGGCACAAGGTTGGGAGGAGGGAGAGCTAGAGGAGATCAGTTTGAAAAAGTAAGTTGGAAAAAATGGAATATGGACTTAACAATGCTGAGTTATCCATCAAAGTGTCCCTGAGTGTTTTTGGAGCTTAGGAGTTCTTTTGACTTTCTCTTTTCTCCCTTGTCCCTCACACCATTTGTCCGTAGTGCAGTATTCCTACTGATCTTCATCTCTTTTATACTGCTAGCCTATTTTGTCCTATAGCAATGGTTTTCAACTTGTTGTTTTTTTTTGACTATGACCCACAGTAAGAGGTAGCATTTTTTTTTTGCTAGCCTAACCATAGAAAACTACAAACTGGGTCTCAGTTTAAAACAAAGATTTTGTAACCAGTATTTAATGTTTTAAGCATAATGAACTCTGATTATTTCTTTCCACTTTTCTTCACTCCTCTCTCATTATTTTTTTTTGGGGAAAAAAAAACCGGATAGTGATCAGATCCACTAAGAGGATTTAATGACTTACAAGTAATAACTATAGCTAGAAAAGCAAAGTTGTCCTGCATAGGAACTAGAAAGTCATGAGGTCTCTCAAGTAGCATCTATTCTTTATGAAAGCATGTAGGAAAGTTAGGTTAGAGGGACAGTCTTGATTGACTTTGTATAAGTTCTTTTGCTTTCAAGTTTGGTATCCCTGTTTATGGGGATTGTTTAAGGGAGAAGTAAAAAAAAAAAAATACTTAGTAAATCATACATTTAAAATATTAACAGTAGGATTAGTAACATGCACTTTTTTATTGAGGCATGATTTGCATACAATGTAACATACTAGTTTCAAGGGTAAAATCTGAAGTTTGACAAATGTATGCAATTATGTATGTGCTACAGTCATGATAGAAAGCTTTTCATTACCTCAGCAGTTCCTTGTGTGCCCCTTTGCAGTCAATTCTCTTTCTTTGTGACTCTTGACAATCTGTTTTCTGAACTACAGTTCAGTTTCTAGAATTTCATGTAAATGGGATAACATAGTGTATTATCTGTGTCTGGCTCACTGGTAAAACTACAGTTGGTTGGGTTCTTTTCAGTTTTTGGCTCTTATGAATGAAGCTGCTGTAAACATTTTTCTTTCAGGAATTTTTTCTTCATTTCATCTGTGTTGTTGAGTTTATGGAGATAAAGATGTTTATAATATTTCCTCCTCTTTTTAATGCAGGATCTGTCTTGATGCCTTCTTTTCCGA